CTATTTCTCAGAGCCCATAACAACATTAAAACTCGACCTTGCTTGTCAGATATCGAATGACTTCACCGTAGATTTGTTAATTTCTTACCATAAAGAGAAACGCACAAGACTGCTGTTTTTTTTGTTTTGGTTTTTTTGTTCTTTTTTTTTTTGTAAAAAAAATATATAGTCTTATACCAATCTTCTATAGTCTTAGAAGATTGCTGAATGCTCCAGGACAATTCGCACCTAATTCGTTGAATAGCTGTATACTATAGATTTCCTGTAAAAGAAAGTACATAGCAAGAAATGCTTTGTAAGAATGAGCTGTTCCAGAATGTTATTGATTTAGAAGATTACGAAGAGTAAGAAGAATAAGTACTGGATGAAACGATGTCCCGACATCCTTCAAGAAGACCTTTGAAACAGATTTTCGAGTGCTAGGAAATCGTGACGATTTCCTTTCACACGAGCTAAGTGCTGCCTTAGCGAGCTATTTCCCTTCCTCGAGAGTTCCCACAGAAGTCCAAAAGTGTCAGTGCAGCCGAAATAAAAAAAAATTCCGTCACATTTGGAGGAGAAACGCATTCCTTCAATAATCTTTTTAGGAACGTCTTTAGTATTGACCATGTAATATTAGTGGATGCGGTTCAGTAAAAAGGACAAAGGACATTATCCCATCACTTGAAAATGCGCTCTCTCGTAATACTTGGTACCTACACAGGTACACTAAAAGTGTTCATAGCACCGATAAGTGATAAATATTTATGTCTAGGTGTGGTATTAAAAGGTTTCTATTCGGCCAAGCTTCAAAAGACTTAGATGTCACGGGCAAGCCCTTGCGAAGAAATGTACACATCTGTGGTAGGTTTTGATCAAGTTGTGTCTAAACTAATCCTAAGCTATTGTTCACATCTGAAACCTAATGCCATCTGTTCATTTTCATTGTTCGCCATCTGTAAAATTAGGTAAAGTTTTAGATAGCGTTTAAATGCGCACAATTTTTAAAGGACATAGTATTGTTCAACTTCTTGGAAAAATCATTCAGATTTCCTTGAAGAGCTCTTCCTTGTGTATCGAAGTAGCTTTCAAAAATTTGCATGCATCCTAATTAATGATGCACCTAAAAATTGGATTTCTGGCGGATGAAGAGAAATTCGAACAAGATAATAAGCAGATATAACACCGCCCTGCGTGTAGTCTGCAGTCTTGTAAATCCTTAGATAGCGTTTAATTTAAAACCAAAGCAATAACAACAGCCATGAAACACACGGGAAAAATGAAAGAGGGTAAATAAATGATCAAATAAACTTCATAAAATCATACTACTTGTGTCAAGCACAGGAGATCGGATCTCTATTAGTTCAGTTTTGCACATGAATTTTAGTAGTAGTGTGGATTCTTGGAGAAAATAACAAGCGGATTAAAGCAACAACGGTGTAATCGCGTCTTTTTCGACTTGCAATCGATTAAAATCGCTTCGCCGCTAGCAAATCTTTGGGTGGTCAGTATTGCAATGTCATTTTCCCTCTGAAACATTCTGATTGATTTTTAAATTTAAAAAGAAAATAACTCAGATATCAACAAGTTCCTTCCAGAGTTACGCATTCTGCTTAAGAGTTTCATGGTTGTAAACTCACTTTCAAACAACATGATTATCATTTTTGAATTTTAGGTTTTCTTATGGCTGATTTCCTGCGTCGCAGTATGCAGTCTACCATGTGGTCAAAATAGGAGCGGGCTATCAACTTGCCTTGACTTGGGTACCAATAAAACATCCTCAGATGACATCCTTCAGTTCATCCACCGTTATGGTTACATGATTGTTCCTCATTCGAATCCTCCAACTCAAGGCAAAGGTTCCAATACGTATACCTTGACAGATTTGGTTGACACAGTGCCGAGATTTTTGGGCCATGCCACATGCAGCGGTTGCGACGTCCGTTGCAAGCCTGTCCTCTACACCGTGAAGGTACTTCGTAGAAAGTGCAGCGCTTATTGGCTGTGGGAGGAACACGACATTCAAGTTTCTTATATTTTGGAGATTTAGATTGCGAGGACCAGTTGTAAACAAGTAAGGCAGTAAAGATAAATCGCTGAACAGTTATTTTTTAGACTAAAACTATCTTAATTTTTGAAGCAATAAATATGATCCTTAGTCCACAACGGCTAGATTACGAGAGCCACAAAGACAAGATAAAGGTCTAAGTTTCGCTATTTACGCTTTTTGATATACAGATTTAAAAAATATTTGTGGATACAGCTGGTTTTGCTTTTGTGTTTGGTTTTTAATTGCTTATTATAAGGCTCTCAGGTTAAATTGAATAAAATGTGATATGGTTTTGTGAAGTGTAATCACTTCTTCCTTGGTGCCTGGTCACTGAAAACAAGAGTCAGACGCTGGGGATATACCTTCACAAACATTTGTGAATCAGGAATTTGCTCGAGCTTTAACAACCAGGGAAAAAAAACAAGGCATGTACTATGCCGGAATTTATTAAGTCAGCATATACATTTGTTATGCAAGAGAGAATACTTCTTGAAAAATATCATGGGGAATGTGGATGCTTCAAAAGTCTCTAAAACTTTTAATTTGTTTTTGTTTCATTCTCTGGCTTGGCGAGACGGTCATATTCTTATCCTCAGAAATTTGTCACATTGGTTAGTCCAACACAGATATCACACAAGTCGGCACGTTGAACTGAAAATGACATCAAGTGACACGTCAGAGACGTAATTAAATCATTTTTAGTAGTGGAATGTAACTGTAAAAAACAAAAACATGTAACAAGCTAAAGTAAAACTGAAATTATGTTCAGACGTTCATTCTCTAGTGTGAATAACGACCCCAAACTATCGCCAGTTCCTCGCGCAGTCGAAAGAAGGGCACAAAAATATTAAACTCGCTTCCAAGTCAAGTGAAATTGTGATTTTACATTACTTTTAAATAGTCTTGATAAAGTATGTAATGAGTACTGAGACTCCCTATTTGAATAAGGTATTTGTTGAGAATCTCATGATTAGGGTAAAAAATACCGTCAAATTTTGGGACGGCGATTTCAATAAGACATTTCGCTGTCGTCGTTCTGATTTTAAGTATAAATTCAATTGTTTCAAAGTTGAACTAGTGCTCATAAATAGCGTAGATTTTCCTAAAATCACAACCAAACTAGCATACAAGTGCGACATTTTTCTTTATCAGAGGAGTTTCAAAGTCCGAGATCAAGAAATGATCAAGCACGCGATTATC